TCTCTCTCTCTCTCTCTCTCTCTCTCTCTCTCTCTCTCTCTCTCTCTCTCTCTCTGTGTGTGTGTGTGTGTGTGTGTGTTGCATACTAGTGAATACTTCACCAAGTATGGGCAGAACCAAAGATCAACCAATATAGGATGAGCATGCATGCAGCGGAAGTCTGAGAATGGACTGACTCACATAGACTGAATTCATCCAGATATCACTCAACACACAAGCAATCGGAAAATGTGGGGTCTGAAGCCAATCATAGACGATGCTTCAGGCCCCGTACAACCATACACAGATGAAAGGTGGGAGGAGAGACGATGGACGTGGGAGGTATAGGCAGCGCCAGATGTCACCGAGATAGAATCCAGAAGGTCACCGATATGGTGGTCCAAAATGTCACCGAACAAAGATCAGAATGCCGTGGACAATAAGTCACCAATGTCGGAGATACAAAGTCCTAATGTAACCGGTGTCCAAATTGTGATGCCGCCGAGTATCAATCCCAACTATCTCCAAGTCTCGAATCCGGTAAGTATCACAGCCTCTTACCACCGAAGTCCAAACACTGATCTCTGTCCAACTTGTACCAAAGTGTCCAATCTGAAGAAGAAGAATAAGTCTGAAGACGACGACGACGACGACGAAGAAGAAGAAGAAGAAGAAGAAGAAGAAGAAGTCTGAAGGAGAGGATGAAGAGGTGGCAGAGGAGGAGGGAGAGATGGTGAGGTAGGGAGGAGGAGAATCCTCGCTGCCCTGTCCCTGGCCCTAGGCCTTACCTGCAGGTGCGCGCTAGAGCTGTTGAAGACCTCCCTCAAGCTGGAGCTATGGCGCCACAGGCAAGCGCCAGGTAAGTACCTCCTACCCTCTCTATCCCTATGCAGTCCAGCGCTAAACCTCGCGCTGCTGCCTCTAGCGCTGCGCTCTAAACAGAATAGCGCAGCGCTCCTCCAGTGTGCCGCTGCTCCAGTCCCCCTTGGAATGGCTGCTGGACCGGCCTAAGTACCGTCCGGCGGCCGGTCGGCCTCGATGCTGGCCTCCTGCGCCGTGGGCTGAACCGTCGAAATGACCGTTCAGCTCAGACCGGGGGGCGGCAGCCTCAAGAGCGCCGCCAGGCCCAAACAATCATGTCGTTTGGGCCAACCCGGGTCTGCTGGGTGCTGTGGCGCCAACCGGTGGCCTAACAGGGCCTACCGGGAGAAAAAGGCCTGGCCTTTGGCGAGGCCGGCCTGGGTACCCCCTGAACCGGTATGTTGGGCCTGTGAAGGCCCGTGTGGAATCGCAGAATGTA